TATTTGCCCTGCCTTCATTCATTTATTCATTCTGTCCTAACATGGGTTCTTTCTCCGCTTTCGTTCCTTCTTCTGTTTTTCGTTCATATCGCCTTCAACCCCGCGAGAATTTCCGTCCAGTGGATTATTATAGAAAGGTGGATAAAGGAAAATGACGCGCGCCTTTTGCATTTCCTGAAGTCACTGCGGCTAGGACGATAGTGGTAGCCGGTCAAGGTCAGGCGGGTTTGCACTTGGCCTTTGCAACTGTCGTGAAGAAGAGGGGGGGGGGGTGGAGGTGAAGATGGAAGTGGAGGAGGAAAGGAAGGAGCAGGGGGAGCAGGGGAAGGGGAAGGGGAACGAAGAGGGGGGGGGGGGAGAGGAGAAGAGCAAGATGATATTTGTCTTGTGATATTACTACTAGTAGTATATATATGAAGGAATAGTAATGGTACCATTATTTTCATGTTATTTATGGTTATAAGGAATTTCAGTATAAATGTATAAGTATTCGTATTTTTTCCGTCTCCATTCATTTTTACTCCTCTTGTCTTCCTTCCTCCCTACTCTTCCTTCTCTCCTCTCCTTTCCTCATCACACTTTCCCTTCATCCTACTCTTCTCTCCTCACCCTCCTACCCCCTCGCGTCCTCCCATTATCCCTTTCTTCATCCATCCCCTCCTGTCTCCCTTCCCTTCCTACTCCCCCTTTCCTCCTCTTCCCTTCGTCCCCTCCCCTTTTTTCTCTCCCTTTCCCTCCTCTTCCCTTCCCTTCCCCCCCCCCTTTTATTTTCCTTTCCTTCTCTCCCTTTCCCCTCCCTTTTCTTCTCCTCCTTCCTCTGAACTCTCCCCTCCCTCCTCCCCTCTGACTCTCCCCTCCCTCCTCCCCTCTGACTCTCCCCTCCCTCCTCCCCTCTGAACTCTCCCCTCCCTCCTCCCCTCTGACTCTCCCCTCCCTCCTCCCCTCTGAACTCTCCCCTCCCTCCTCCCCTCTGACTCTCCCTTCCCTCCTCCCCTCTGACTCTCCCTTCCCTCCTCCCCTCTGACTCTCCCCTCCCTCCTCCCCTCTGAACTCTCCCCTCCCTCCTCCCGTCTGAACTCTCCCCTCCCTCCTCCCCTCTGACTCTCCCTCCCTCCTCCCCTCTGACTCTCCCCTCTGAACTCTCCCCTCTGAACTCTCCCCTCCCTCCTTCCCTCTGACTCTCCCCTCTGAACTCTCCCCTCCCTCCTCCCCTCTGAACTCTCCCCTCCCTCCTCCCCTCTGACTCTCCCCTCTGAACTCTCCCCTCCCTCCTCCCCTCTGACTCTCCCCTCTGAACTCTCCCCTCCCTCCTCCCCTCTGAACTCTCCCCTCCCTCCTCCCCTCTGACTCTCCCCTCTGAACTCTCCCCTCCCTCCTCCCCTCTGACTCTCCCTTCCCTCCTCCCCTCTGACTCTCCCTTCCCTCCTCCCCTCTGACTCTCCCCTCCCTCCTCCCCTCTGAACTCTCCCCTCCCTCCTCCCGTCTGAACTCTCCCCTCCCTCCTCCCCTCTGACTCTCCCCTCCCTCCTCCCCTCTGACTCTCCCCTCTGAACTCTCCCCTCCCTCCTCCCCTCTGACTCTCCCCTCTGAACTCTCCCCTCCCTCCTCCCCTCTGAACTCTCCCCTCCCTCCTCCCCTCTGACTCTCCCCTCTGAACTCTCCCCTCCCTCCTCCCCTCTGACTCTCCCCTCTGAACTCTCCCCTCCCTCCTCCCCTCTGACTCTCCCCTCTGAACTCTCCCCTCCCTCCTCCCCTCTGAACTCTCCCCTCCCTCCTCCCCTCTGACTCTCCCCTCTGAACTCTCCCCTCCCTCCCCCCCTCTGACTCTCCCCTCTGAACTCTCCCCTCCCTCCTCCCCTCTAATCTCTCCCCTCCCTCCTCCCCTCTGAACTCTCCCCTCCCTCCTCCCCTCTGATCTCTCCCCTCCCTCCTCTGTGTCTCCTTTGGCGAGATGAGCTCACGCAGCGCCCCGTCGTCCACGCCCTGCTAAGCCTCACCTGCGCCCCGGCGTCACGTTCCCTCGCGGCGCTGCTGTCACGCCGCTGTCACGTCCGGATGTGCCTCCGTGTCGCCGCCGGGGCTAGGCAGGCTGCGTCTCTCTCTCTCTCTCTCTCTCTCTCTCTCTCTCTCTCTCTCTCTCTCTCTCTCTCTCTCTCTCTCTCTCTCTCTCTCTCTCTCTCTCTCTCTCCCTCCCTCCCTCCCTCCCTCCCTCCCTCCCTCCCTCCCTCTCCCATTGAGATATTCTCTCCCCTATCCCTTCCTCCTTTATTTCCTCCCTCTCTCTATCTATGTCACTATCTCTGTCTACACTCTACCCTGCACTCTCTTCACTCTCTCCCTCCCCCCCTCCCCCCCCCCCCCCCTCCCTCCCTCCTTCCCTCTCTCCCTCCCTCCCTCGATGCCTCCCTCCCTCCCTCCCTCTCTCCCTCCCTCTCTCTCTATCTCTCACTCACTCACTCACTCACTCAACTCTCCACTCTCATTCAGTCTCTCATTCACTCGCATACTCTCTCCCATGTCCACGGAATTGTCAGCTCTAACATATCAATGCTGTATCTGCGTCGAAGTACCATTCGTTCCCTTTTGTTCTGTCATCTATACATGTAATTGATCTTGGAAAACTACGCTGAAAAAGAGTTTCATCTTCTGTTCCTTTTAGCCTACGTCAACTATTTTTTAATACTCAAGCGTTAAAGGTCTCGCCTCTCATTTAGGTACATACACATTCGCACTCTCACTCTCACATTCACACACTCACTGTATCGCTCGCTCGCTTCCCCAGTCGCCCACTTACTCAGTCCTTCTCCCCCTCCCCTATACCCCTTCCCTCTCTCTCTATCTTCTCTCTCTCTCCTTCTCTCCATCCCACCCATCCACTCTCTCTTTCTCTTTCTCCTTCTCCCATCCCCCCTCCCTCCCTTCCTCTGTCCCTGTCCCCCTCCCCCTCCCCCTCCCCACCTCTTTCTTCCATGAGCCCCCTCCCCACCCTTTGTATATTTGTATGCGTACTGACGCGTACATGTTTATTTGGCGTTCGTTGTGTCCAGCGTCTCCATCCAACCAATAAATGGGCGAGCGCAGCCTTCCTGACCGCGGGTGTGACAGGGCAGTGGGCGTGGGTGTCGACTTGATGCCCGAGGCTGTGTGGCCTCTCATTATAATGACGGACTTCCGGAGGGAGGGAGGGAGGGAGGGGGGAGGAGGGAGGAGGAAAGTTATCCCCCTGCCCCTACCCCGTCCTTGTGCCCTCTTTATGCCCCTTTCTCTGTTCTCGAGTCTCTTCGCGTCATCGGATTGAATCATTTTGCGCAGTCAGTCAATGTTTATATGTACTACACACACATACATATATACACACAGATGCATATACATACATATTTATACACATAGATACATTTACTTATATACACATACTAATACATGTATACATATGTATGTACTTATACACATATATGTGCATGAGCTGTACCTTTACGTACAGATGAACATTTACATGTACATACATACATGAACTTAAACATACACTAACAATGCGCACATCCCCATCCATAAGCGACGGCAAGGTGAGAACCTCGCTCCCGCTCCCCAGCAGGACCCCGAGCGACACGTGGCGGCGCCGCGCGGCGAATGATCCATATAGCCTACCGGTGCCCGGGGGGGGGGGGGCTGTTTCGCGTTTCTCGGCCGCCGGTGCAGGAGGCCACACCCACGAGGGGGCGGGCAGGGAGGGGCGTTAGCAATAGGAGGTTGAGGCAGAAGAATATGAAAAATCATGGAAGGGAGAATAAAAGTGAGAGAATGAAGGATTAAGTGAGGAATGGAAAGAAGGAAAGGCCTTGGAGGACAAAGGGAGGAAGAACCGAAGAAGGTCTAGAGGGACGAACGGACAAGGAGAAACATAGAATTGAAACAGATCTGTTAAAAGAGACGGCGTGGTTGATATCACTAGCCGCGGAGGAGGAGCATTAGGAGGCCGTGGGCGCCGGGCGTCACGTGCTTGTGCGAAGATTCGTGTCTCGCGGTTCGTCTCGTTCCTCGTTTCCACCAAAGTATTAGTTTATTGGCTTTTTATGTTTCGTTTTTGGTATGGGTATTGGTAATCCAGGTGCTATTGTTTTTCTTATTTGAATAATCCTAATATAGATTTTTTACTATCATTATTGGTGTTTCTTATTCTTATTCTTGATCATTATTTAGTGTTAACGGTTGAAAGGACTTTATTTTCAAATCAATTTGGCAGAGATAAAGGACATCACTGCCGCGACTCGTGACCGGCGGGCGGAATCATGTATGAAGAATGCGCTGTTGGCTGACACTTGCTTGTGTCAGCTATGTTCTCCCTTAGCGAAAGACCGGAAATTATTATCGCTGGAATCGCTGTGAAATTGACTCTTCGAGTATATAGTATAGATTTTCAGACGAAGGTGGGGAAGGAGAGAGAGAGTGAGTTTGCGTGTGTGGCTGAAGATAGACCTAAGCATGTGTGTGCGTGGGGGGGGGGGGGGCTCTCGAGGCCCTCATTTACACCCTTGACCTGAACTGGCCATCCCCGTGGGACTGTACAGTAGACTAGACCTGTTAGAAACACGTAGAGATTCGTTTGCAAGTGCCTTCGTGCTTCCTGTTGTGGTTAGGATTTTTAGCGATCTTAGGATAATTTGATAATGTTACGATTAGTGATCTATTGTTGTCATTGTTACGAATGTTGTAACTTATCTTTTATTCCAGATTTGGATTTTTGCTTGTGGGTTACGATCAAGTATTTTACTTAAGCTGGATAAAAGGAATGTGTGGTTATGTAATTTTAACAGCTTTTCTTTTCTTTTTCTTTCTTCCCTACTTCTTACATTTTTCACCTTTCTTTCGTGTTTGAAGTAATTAGCAAAAATACCATTTTGTACAATATTTTTTTTTTTTACGTAACAGTATTTGTAATGACAGGTATCACTCCCCCATGTCTTAAGAATATTGTCTGACGCCCCTTTGTTTCTCCCTCGCAGGGCCGACACACCAAGACGGGTCAGCTGGCGGCCATCAAGGTCATGGATGTGACGGAG